GCCCCCAGCTAAGGGCAAACCCATCACACATGCTATTGCTGATGTAATTTGTCTGTCTTCTTGAACAAGACTTTGTTGCATCTTCCTCTTCCCATTTTTACCCTTCCCTCCTCTCCTTCCCCCCACCCCCCCCTTCCCCCGCCCCTTTATACTTTTTCTTGTTTAATTGGGATTCCAGACTTCAGAAATCCTCGTTTCTTTGAGGAAGAGCTGGGGTTTGTTCCTTGTCAGAGAGAGTGAATTACAGTTGCACCTGCATGGGTACATTCTTGTTCCTCTCTATTGATTTAAGGAGGTATCAGCCACTAGTTTCTGAAGGATTGGCTATGCTCCCTGAGAGCATATATAAACCTGTTGGCAGCTGATGGCTTAATCTCATTAACTGCAGCGTATATTGGCATTACATGGCTTGAAATTACTCCTTGAGTGCTTCTCTCATTTATTCTAGCTCATTGCGCTGGTCCTGTCCTTCTCTGTGGCACAGCCATAGCCAGGATATACTCATGGGCCCTGATCTGTGTGTGTTGTGCAGGAGGACAGATTGGTTGCTAGAAGGTGGTTTTGGATGATGAGGGCCGAAGATGAGTTGTGAGTTCATGCTGAATGACAACTATGCTGTACAGTTTAGAAAAAACTCTGAGCAGTACAAGAGTATTTCTGCTACAGCTGGGCTTGACCGCACCACGTGTAGCAAAGACTTCAGGTGTCATCTTAAGTGTAATCCAATGTGACATGCTAATTCTACAACTCATATTTCTTCTTTCCTTTGTGTCTCTTAGGGTGTTTCAAAGATGACCGTATTGCATTCTGGACTTGGATGTTTTCAACATACTTTATGGAGAAATGGGCCCCCCGACAAGACGATATGCTCTTCTATGTCCGTCGAAAACTGTCCTATGTCAGTGGTGATAGTACAGAGGGGAAAAAGGTGAGTAATGATCTGTTTTAACCTGAGAAATTTAAGGTAACATGGGATTTGGTGTTCTGGAGTACCTGACACATCTGAAGAACTACAAACCAAGGATAAGGAATCTCCAGCTCTGCCCACCACAAGAAGTTATGCAAAATTGGCTCATAGAGAAGTACTGTGGTTAATGCTATGAACATCAGCAGCAGCATTAAGTGAGCTTCACTTTCACAGACTTGAGAAGATCAGGGAGTTTGCATGCTTTTTTTTGTGAAACTTTTCTGTTGGTCAGCCTGCATTTAGGGGGAAAGGGAGGACATTCGTGCTGATTTTTGTTTTGCTTTTCAGTGGTCATAATTTATAAATTGAAAGTTTAAATCTGTAGAAAGGGAGGAAAAAGGAGGAGGAAGGTAGTCACTTCAGTATTTCTAGAAGAACCTTCCCTGAGATACTAGAGTATCAGGAATGAACACCTGTTGGGTACTCAGTAGCAGAATACGTGCAGCATCCTAGAGCTGGGATACAGTAGTGACAAACAGTGAAGAAACAACTGTATTCTCATAATTGATGTTTAAGACAATATCGCTTCCTGTAGAAGTACTGTTTCTTGAAAACACCTAATCAGGTAGTGTAGTGCTGCTGCACAGGTATTTTCCCACTAGAGATCTCAGAATTTCTTGGCAGTTTTTGTCTTAGGTGGGGGAAACAGAAGCAAGAGAAATGATGGTTTTATTAGGAATTAAGGAGATGGCTGCAGAGGAACAAAAGTAGGAAGATAAATGGAGGAAAAAAAAGACTGGAATTAATTTCCTGATATATGTAAATGATGTACGCTGTTGTTGAATGACAGATATATGCGCATGGTATATGTGAGAGTGTTTTTAACCAGGTATACCAGAGTTCTCTGGGTTTAAATGTGGTGATGTAAGGAGCCATAGTTGATAATTCCGTGAGAAACGGATCCCAGAAGATTTTCCCACGTTTTTGTTGGAGACACAGGAAATGGGCAGAATTATCTTCTTTCTTCCCCTCACTACTCCAAGTTCCATCCTGACAACCACTAAGAAGATGGCAACGTATTTTTCTTTCTGTGTCAGATTAGTGCTCTTTTGGCCTGCATACCTGGAGCTTTAAGACTTTTTCAGGAAACTTTTATCTTAATCATTGTTTAAATTATTTTAAATGCATTCTTGTTTCACATCAAACAATATTGTGGCTTTGTTCAGCCTGATAAAAGCATGGATTGTTCAACCTCTTGTCCTTCCCAACAAGGAAGGTGATCTTCAGAGGAAGCCTGGTCACTTAAATTCATTCACAGATCCCTGATCAATCTCTGTTTAACTTATTAATCAGTTTGAAGTGTTTGAGCCTCTCATGGAGAGGAGACAGTGAAATAAACCCTTACATTTGCTCTCAGAGCTTTATTTAAGCTTCCTAAAAGCATCATAAATAATTTTATTTGTCAAGGGTTTTCATAAGTGGTAGTTATTACAAAATCAGCATTTAGTGAATCGCTTACTGTAACAACTTAGATAGGGATTGCCTTATAGCACACACAGTATTTTATAACTCCCGCTTGACTGTTTGTATTTTGCTCAGCCCCCAAGAAATTAACCTTTTCTGTGACTTTGAAGTACTTCAGATGCTTTGTGAAACTTCGTAGTTTGGTGATCCTTTGGTATCTGTGCAGCCCTCCTCCTGTTTGATTTCAGCTGACTGCTTTGCAGTTCCAGCTCCTTTTGCATCTAATTTTTGAGCCTGTCCTACCCCTACTCTTTGAATTATGACTAGACAGGTTTTTATTTCACTTTGTAGTTTTGGCCATTCTTTCTTGAAAGATGATGTCAAAATACCAAAGTCATATCATTAAAAGGGGAAGAAGCTAGAGGCTGATGTTCATAGAAGTCAAATATAACTTAAAGCATCCCTGCTACCCACCAAACTGTGTGCTCTCATTTATATCCCCAGAGGTAGACTGAAAAGGCACATGAAGCAGAGAGGTTCAGAGTAGGTTGGGACCATGAAAGGCTAGAACTGGAGCTGTACTGTTGGCTCCTGCTTTGTGCCCAGGCTGTGCTGAACGGCCTGGTGATGATTTCTCCATGGGCCATGCAGAGACTGACCATTAAGTAACCGTAGAGGTGGGTCTCCTTCTGGCTTGGGTAAGCAATGAAGCAAAGTTCAATGTAGTTCTTCCACAGACACATATATATGTGCTCTGCATTTGCCTGGCAGTTGTAGGGTTTGACTGAAGAACGCTGGCCGAGACGCATGAGATGAATTGTTGTCCTATGACATCTCAGAGCATTAGTTTATATTCATGAAAATAAGACCTGTGCAGCTTTTGAGCACAGTAGTCTTCTGATGACAACAATAACAAAAATGGATGGAGCAGAGAGGGGCTGTTTGTCTGAATGCTGACAATGGTGATGTTTGTTTTCTGAGATGCCAAGCTCATGCAGCGTGTTTGCATCATTTGTATGCCATGGTGGGATGATTCATGTCAGCGAGAAGGAAATGTCGATTTATCAAACAGTGTTCAGGTTTTGATGGCTGTCCTGTGTGATTAAAAGTCATTCCTGTTTGTGGGTTTTTTTCTGTGCTTGCTGGAGCTGAGGAGTATCAGCAATAACATTTGATTTTAAGTTGAAGTGTAATAGAGGATAAGCAGAAAACCTGATAGGATCAAGATTAGAGGTTCTGTTCAAATTTAAGGCTGAATGAGAAGGGCTTTGGATGCAGCTTAGTCCCAACAACTTAAAGTAGTAAAGGTAATGATGGTAAACTTCTCTACCATCATAAATTTTATTTTAAAAGGCCTTTTAAATTATCTACTTCATAGACCCCACAGTCTAAGCGACTTTCCATTTGCTTCTCTTTTCCACCCCACCAATTTCTAAACTGCACATGTATGGGTGAAACAGCAGTTAAGCTCCTAATATGGTCTGTGCCAGGGCAGAACCACCATATAAAATATCAAATTCTGGGCTATATCCATTACACAGACTCTTGGATCCCAGAGAAGTGCATTCAACTCCATGTTTCCTTGGCGTGTCACAATAACACTCTTGAAGTTTTTCTTGACAAGTTTTGAAGATACTTCTCTCAGTGTCTTTAAGCAAAACCACAGACCCCATCTGTCAGGATCTGTGCAGGCAGGGCACTGTGGAGCATAGCTCTTCTCAAGGTTAAGGGATTTAGTAGGCTTTTTTTAAGGTGGAAGCCCTTTGACTTGTCACTCTTTATGCACCATTAAGTCAAGACTCAAAAAACCCCTTCTCTGCTGCCTTGCACACCAGCTGATGTGACCTACTGGAAAACATAAGCCAGGTGTGATGTGTGATGCTCACTTACAAAGGGTCCCGTACCTTGCCGAAACCTACAGCTTTAAAAGGTTAAAGTGGTTGGGCTTGGGATTTTGGTTTTAAAATTGTATTAGATCAAAATTTAATATCTCTGTCTCTTTCCAGTGCACAAGGCGTTTATGAAGGATTATACTTTGTTACAGCTGCAAGCTTCTTATCTTTCTGTAGACAGAAGCTTTACTTTCTCATGGGACTACAGAAGGTGCTAGTATGGTGTTAACTGAGACAACTGCCCAGTAGGGAAACTAAGATAAAACTTCAGTGAGAGCAGAAATAGGCTTTATTAACCCCTTCAGCCTTGGGTCATGCTTTGTCACCTGAAAAAGGTGTTGTATTTATAAAGCAAAGCGATACAAATGACCCATTTAAGACACTGTTGGTGTATGTTCTGAGATTGCCTGGATTTTGGAGTAGGTCCTGTTTTCTTCAGCATCGTATAAATGTGCAGGAGTAGAGTTGCTGCCAAATGCATGGGGTAGTCATTTAGGCTGTTAAGTCTTCAGAAAGTTTAAGCTACTGAAGTTGTGGCTGCAGCTTCAGAAACAGAACTGAACAGGAGCCATGGTTTACACATTTATGTGCATCTGGACCTGTGACACAACAAATATTGGCTGTGGTGGGAGACCAGTTAGTTTCCAAAGCTAAATGACTTTAGGCACATGACTCCCACTGAAAATCACAGGATTTTTGTAACTGAATCTCTAATTCACTGTCACCATCTGTCTGGCTGGAAGATCTGACAACCTGAACTCAGCATCTAGCAAAAATGCAAGTTTTAAAGATCTTATGCTGCTGTCTCTGTTGTACCTTTCAGAACAGTGCTTCTGGTTTTTTTTTTTTTTTTTTTTTTTAAACACTGTAAGCAAACAGGATTTCTCCAGAAGTGCTGTTTGCTGTACTTCACGGCAGTTCCACATCACCATCTGAATGCAACAGAGAAACAAGTGGCCAAAAAATGCATCTTTTTTTGCCAAACAAATTCTCTCCTTTTACATGGATAGTATGTGGGAACAAACAATGATTGCAACATGTGCAAGTCAGTACAGAGAGACAGCTGTTCTGCCTCAACTCTTCCGTTGTGCTGAGTTTGTGGTGGAGGTGTTGTAGTGAGTAGGAACAGTGGCTTCTGCATAAAAGGACAGCATCAATGCGTTGCTCTCATTTTGAAACATCAAAAAGGAACACTGGCATTATCAGATTGATATTACAATTTTCTATAAGGAGCTGAACATCTTAAATGCAAAGATTTAGCTTTTCTTTTACAATTATACTTCTGAGAAATTCCTGTGCTTTCTTATACTATCTTGCTGATTTTTAATATCTAAACATATGAATGTAAAGGGCTGCTATTTGATAGCCTGTGCTCATGGTGCATTTTTTGCAAGACAATCTCCAATTCCTATGTGTGGTGTGTCAGACTGCTTGGCAAAAACAAAAATACTGACACAGGTGTGACAAGAACATCCCTTTCTGACATGGAACCTGATCTTGCCGTCTGTGACCAGGAATGTGCTTGTGACATACCTGGCAGCCTAATGACCAGTTCAAGGTGGAGATGCTTTCATATTCTGTCCTATTTCCGGAGTAAATTTGTGTTTGAGACAAAGCGAGCATGCAGCTGAAACATCCTCACAGTGTCACAGTGGGTAAACTCCC